TTGCATAGGCAATAGAAATCGAAAGGTATGTAAGGCTCCATTTAACTTAAGGGGGATGGAAAGCTATCAAAACAGAATTTACATTAGTATTAATGACATACTCAGAATAGAGTTTATCAGAATACTTTCTTAGATCTTGAAAATGACAAATTTCCGAGGGAAAGAGAGTTTTAGGCTCCTGCAGAATATTACTGTCATATGAAATGCATTGTTTTTACCTACTACCCTCAGGTTTTTCTGAAATATTTAGGACTATGGAATAGTCTAAGTCTATAAGGAGAAAACCGACTTGATTTTGCTCTAAGGAGTTAATAATGGTTCTTAGCTAAACCCATTAGCTCTGTCTTCACAGTGTATGTGCTGCAGCAGAGCTAAGCACTTCAGTCTTCACATTTATTCAAATGTCAGCAGAATAGAACTGGATTGAGGTTTCTATAGAAACCACTTCTGGTTTCAGGTGTTTCTCAGGGCATTTTGTTCCATTAACTGCTTGGAGAAAGAAAGTACACATTACGGATTTTTATTAATGGTCTTTTTCCCTCCTTGGTAGAAGCTGGTTAGTGGGGTTAGTACCTTCGCCTTTGTTTTACCACATTTTTGGCATCCCCTGCTGCAGCCTTTCCCCTCTGGCTGAGAAACTAGAATGAGCTACTTCTAAAGCCTGATAAATCCTGCCCATTAGCATTGGCTGTTCAGACAGCATTTCTTTGCTTTTAGCCAGAAAGGAAATTTGAAAGTCTCTTACCTAGAAATTGACGTAACACGTTTTCTCATTCGGGGTTTATATAGCCCCTGTGAAACGCTGCCAACACAAGAGGGAAAGATGACTGCGGAGACTATATGAACCCAATCAACAACAAAAGGGGTAAGGGAGCTCCTGAGAGTTTATGGCACTAGGACAATTTTCACTGTGAAATCCAGCAAAAATAATCAGATCTTTCAGTCCAGACACTAGTTAACTAATTGTCTGGAGGAATAATATCCCTTCCCATAATATTGGGAGAAAATTTTAATAAGGGAAAATCAACCATTCAACTCAGAAGTAATACAATGACTTAATTGCATAACTGGAGGTCATGCTTTCTTGTGATTTATATTACAACATAGAAAGCTCATGGTGGACTAAAAAAGATATGATTAATAAAGAAAAGCCTGCATAAAATAAGAATAATAAGAAACAACCACAAGGTATGCCTTAAAGTGAATAAAGGTAGCCTGGCATTGCAGAAAAAGTATGCACAGTCTCTGATGTCTGAAGGCTCTGTTTACATCTCACCATGACCACTTACTACTTAGGATCTTGAATAAATTCCTTAGTCACTAAAGTCAGTTTCCTCATTTGTAAAGAGAGGATATTCATTCCTACCTTGCATGGTTGTGGTAAGGACTGGAGGTAATGGATAAGCTTCCTTCTCATCAGTGTATTTGTTACATGAAACTGTGCGGTCATGAGGTTGTGCAGTGATGAAAATGCCTCTTATGAAAATGTTCATGACAAAACTAATCTCTTATAAGATTAATATCCATTCAAACATCTTCCCCAGGTTAACACTATCTTTCTCAGCTTATGTTTCAAATTATTTGACAATCTTTAGCTGACTATTTGAATTTACAATATCTTAGGCAATTATAGTGATCATTGATAACAAATTAATAATGCATATCTTGAGAAGGTGAATGATTTCATGAAGTATATGAAAGTGATGATGAAGAACTAGAGAGGCTGCATGGCATAGACTAGTGCCAGATTGCACAGATTAAAATACTAGAGCCACCAGTTACTAGATGTGTAACCTTGAGCAAGCACCTTAATGTTTCTGTGCTTCAGGTTCCCCATCTATAATATGGAAACGATAATACCAACCTACTGCAGGATTTGTTATGAGGACTCAGTAAAGGTAATATTTGTTAAATGCTTAGGACAATGCTTGATAAATCATAATAAGCACATGAGTGTTTATTAAGTAAAAATAGAAACAAACAAAATAATCCCATAGTAAACCCATTCAAATGTGAAGTCAAATGATTAAAAACTAAAGACAACCCAGAAGGTCCTTGACAGGAAAAAAACACAGTAAACAATAATGTAAATGGAATAAATATTGAGAAGCATTTGTGAAAACAGCTGAAGTCTTGGATTGTTTACATACACAAAAGATGTTCACATTTGTTATAGGGTTGTTTAAGTCAATGATGAGGGGGTAGTGGCTGCCTTTTAGTTGCACCATCTCATATTGCACCAGGCTTGGTCTGTGCTACCAAGAGCAGAAGTGGTGGTACGTCACTTTCAACATTAGGTTCTAGAAGACACGGCTGCTTCAATTTTAGTCCTTCCCGGGCCCATTCTCCCAATCTTTCTAATCACTCACTTTGGAGGAAGACAGTTGTCATGCCACAAGCAGCCCTCTGGAGAACCCAGGTGATAAGGATCTGGGAGGCTCTTATCCAAAAGTTTGAGAAGCAGTAAGGATTTCTGCCAACAGCCATGAGAGACTGAATCCGAATCCTCCTTGAGACGACTACAGCCATCTTGACTTCTTGTCTGCAACTTCATGAGACAGTCTGAGTCAGAACATCCTGCTAAGCAGTTCCCAGATTCCTGCCCCACAGAAACTGGTGAGATAAAAAATGTTCAGTTTTAAGCTGCTACATTTGGAGGTAACTGTTCTGCAGCAACAGGGTTGAAGGAAGCTCCATGTGTTATTTTGCAAATTTCATGAAAAAAATTACACCTCCCATGTAGATACTTTTTATAGTACGTATTCTAAAAATTAGCAAATACTTGTGACCTTCATTTTTCAAGAGCTTTTATGCCACCTTTTTTACTATATAATAGATCATTTTTATTTTCCTTTAATTGACCTACAAGACCTCTACGATCTATGTGCTTCTTACTTATCTCATCTATTCTTCCCCTTTCTTTCTACTCCATCCATACTGACTTCTTCTTTTTCTAGAATATGCCAGACATATTCTTTCTCAAGGCCTTTGCATTGACTATTCCTTCTAACTTAATTTCTCTTACCCAAATATCTGACTCTCTCACTATCACCTCCTGAAATCTTTGTCTAATGTCTCCTCAAGTGAAAGTATCCCAAAGACTTTGATTAAAATTTCAACCTCACACCTCACACTCCTGACTCTCTTTACCCCATTTTATTGCTCCATTACACTTTCACTGATTTCATTGTCTCTCTCTCCCCACTGGATGCCAGCTCTATAGGGGAGGGGATTTGTGTCACTTTAGTCCCTTATATACTGATATATCCTCATTATCTAGAAAAATTCCTAGCACTCAGTAAGTACACAATAAATATTTGTTGATGTGAGCTTAGGAATTATATTTAGTTTCAACGGTTCTTTTATAGTATCAATTATCCTGGGGTAAGGATGATTGCCTATATTTAAATTTTCTGACTCAGTAGGTTGTCAATAAACACTAGGTATGCTCTAAAAGCAAATCTCCATTTGAAAATAAAAAAAGTATTAGCTTGAGTAATTTATAATAAAGATCTAGGAGCAAAATTATAGAGGTTGAGAAGAATATTGATCTGTGAACTTATTATCTAAATTAAATATTTATCATCACACATCCTAAGAACAATATATCTTGTCATACATGCATATAAAGACCTCCATGACTTTCCTTTTAATATTCAGAACAAATGTACATTATTTTTATTACCAATTTTTCATCAGAGAATAAGATTACTCATTGTACCTAGGGAAACACTAAAGACATAAATCAGCTGGTGGTTCTTAAAAGCCTAAGGTGCTATGACATCTATTTTGAAGACTTCTGAAAGCCATACTTAGAAAAGATTATAATAGAAAGGCTCATCTGCACTGCTTTCATGAATGTATGGCCTGGGCAGTCACACAGGATCCTGTGCTGAGTTTAATGCTCTGCTCTTGCTGTCTTGGAATTCTTACTGATGGATAAGGGGCCTCCATATCCCTTTTACAGTGGGTATTGCAAATCACATGGCTGACCCTGAGGCTCAGAGAAGGTAGTATTACTCAGCTACTGGTCACTGTCCAGAAACATAAACAGAGGTGGAATGACCAGAAGAGCATTCTCTGAGTTCTGCACCTCAGCCCCCTTTCTGCCTTCCCCCTGCCTCGGGAGAACTGAATCAAGAGATCCACGGGCCGTGTGTTTGTTACTCAAAGGCAGCAGCCGCACCTTGTTAGAAAAGCAGAATCAGGACCCACTCCAGAACTGGGCACCAGAATTTGCATTTCCTATATACTTTAAATTTGAAAAACATCTGGGCTGTTTCAAAGGCATGCCGAACCTCTGTGACAAAGGACATTTGAGGGGGCTTTTCCTTTACAGGGATCCCTAAAGGGTATTCTCTTTTCTTCTTCTAGCAGAAAACAACTAGCCTGAGATGCTGCCAGATTGGAATGCTAACTGATTTGAACATTACATTTTTGTTCCTTCTGTGCTCCATTCCCTTGGATTAGGTTTATATGAAGTGAAATGGTTTGGGAAAAATTAAACATGAATAAAGCCTGAAGAGTGAGCTATTATGAAGCCGAACTGGTGGAAAACAGCAACGGTAATAAAATGAGGGAGAAATAAACTATCTTAAAAATATAATAAGTAGCTAACACTGAGCACCTAAAATGTGCCAGGCATCTTACAGAGGTTTACGTGGATTAGGTTTATGTGGATTACTTTAAATTTCACTACGAAGTTTATAAGTAGGTGCTGCCCCTATGTTCTTTTGCAGAGAAACAAACTTGAGAGTCTTGAAATGGACATTATATATCAAGAAATTATGCATTATTATGCAACTATAAATTTTTATATATCTATAAACATGCTGAGTGAATGAATGCCTCTGTGTAAATTCAAGAACATCTTTAGAATTAGGTCCCAAATTTAGGGACCATCACAGAAGGAACAACAGTTAAATTCAAATTAAACGCATGTTAAATTTAAATTCTCTCAATTGTTCACTTTGAGACAAAAGGAAGAGAAATAAAGGCAATTCTGCAAGTGACGATCGCACAAGTTTGCATTTTCACGTTACTGAAGATGAGTGTCAGGAGGTTCTCTAACAAGCAGGAGGTGAGCCCAGTAAGCACGTGGTCATGTGCCTGATGCTCCCACAGAAGAATAGTGAAAAAAGGAAATCCCAACAGTCTCCAGCCCACGGATACCCAGGTCCCGAGGCGGCACTGCGAGGGCCACAGCGTGCTCCCCGGGGCTCCGCGGCCCGCCCCGCCGGCCCAGAAGGGGGAGGAGCCGCGGGGCCCGCAGGAGAGCGGGCGCGGCCTGGGCGCGGGCATGGAGCGGCGGGCGCTGCGGCGCCTCTGGCTGCTCTGCTGGCTGTGCTGCTGCGGTGGGCGCCGCGCCGATCCCCGCGCCACCTCCGGCCGCACGGAGCCGCGGAGCCAGGAGCGACGGGCCGCCGCCTTCCGGGTACCGAGCGCGCGCCTCCCCCTTGCCTGCCGCCCCTCCGGCCGCGTCGGGGCCCCGCGGAGCCGCCCCGCCCGGGGGCCGCCCGGCGCATTTGCGGGGGGCGGCAGGGGGTTCTGAGCTGGGTCCCCAGCAACGAACTGCTCCCTCCGCGCCCCGCGCGCCCCGGGTCGCGTCTCCCATGCCTTTGCTGACCCAAATACTTGATTTTCCAGGGAGGATGTGTTGCTGTGGTTTATGTGACTCTCCCAAGCCATCCATGGATGTGCCCCAAGTATTCGTGGGTGCAGAAAGCACCCGCCTTTAGCAGTCCCCCTGACGGTGTGCCTCCGTAGCTGTTCGTTTTCGGTTACCGGAACCCGTTAGAGGCGGAAGGAACCTTCATTTTTGCTCCCCGAGGGGCGCTGCGAACCTCCGGAACTCAGTTTTACTGGCGAGCAGGAGCCCGCTTCTCCAGGCTCGCCCCGTCGCGCCCAGTCCCGCCCATTTGTGATTCTCCTGAACTGGGGCCCCTTGAACGAGGGCAGCGGCTTAAAGGTTCTTCCTGACTTGGAAGAAATGGATTTAGCAGAAGGGAAGCATTTAATTTTCTTTTCAGATTTTTCTGAAAAGCTTCATGATGCCTAGATTTTACCCCATCGTTAAAATTCTGGACTGGACCAGTTAGCTGACTATTTATAGACGGGTTTTCCTGAAACCAAAGAAACTGCGGAGAAACCGATTTACAGTTTGCCTCACTGTGTTCTAAGATCTGATATTATTTAACGACTTTTAAAAAATAATAAAAGATGTCATTATCGTGACTTACTATAAAAGGAAATTGATTCTGAATGAGAAATAGGTACGAATTTAGTAATACTGCTTATTGGAGTTACATTTGTTTTATCCTGGTATTTTCTTGATTTCTCATGGGATGCTATAGCTGTACCCTCTCCTACTCTTCTCTCCCCTTGGAAAGCTCCAATGTTTAGGAAGTCCCTGCCTTGCCTAATTCTGGTCACACTTATTTTTTTCTCAAACCAAGATGTGTATTTTTACTGGTCTTGAGTTCCATTCTAGCTTTCAAAACCAGAAGCACTAGTACAATCACTTGAGAACAAACTGTGTCTTGTATTCTAGCCCTGTCTGAGCTTAATTGCATATGGTAGTGAACCAAACCCCTTGAAGAAGCTAGTCCATCTCATGTATACTGATTGGCTAAATAAGTAAACACACTGCCATCCTCTTCACAAAAATCATTTTTGAGGATTTGAGACACAAGGGCCACAGTAACAAATACATTTTTTAACATATATAACATAATTTATTATGCTTATCATAAATATAATTATATTTTATATACCATTCTATAGATTTAACATATATTTGTACTATATTCATAATATATATGTTAAATATATCATTTACATACCTATATATTTAACATTGTATAAAGTCTAATATTTAATAAATTTAATATATCATGTATGAATATGCATTTAGATTTTTATATAATTTGTATTTATTATAAATACAGTTATATTTAATTGTAATCAATGAGTAAATTATGCAATTTATATGAAAATAAATATAATTATATAATATGTGAATTTTATGTGTGTGTATATTTATTCATATTATATACTTATTTATATACTTATATTGGTCCTGTAAAAAGGCCATACCCAGGAGATGAATGTTTAGAACATATAGCTGTTCTCAGGAGGAATACAAGAGTCCATGTTGGGAAAAATTGTAAGTGGCAGAGGACAGTTATAAAGATTTTTACTACATTTCAAAACCTTGAGTCAGAGAGCCTGAATAAGTTTTCAGAGCAATTGCTTCCAGTGAGAATTTACTACTTGAAGTGGTTGCCCGGAAAGGAGAGTGTTTAGGCTTCCAAACACAGTTGCTGGAAACTGGGAGCATCTCTAGGTGTTTGAATGTAGACCGCTGTTTGGACGTGGACTAGAGGGCAGGACACAGGCAAAGACAGAAATGGTCTTGCTTCCTTGGTACCATGAGCATTAGTAAATATTCTTCTGTCCTGACAGGATGGTTTAAAGCATATGATAACTAAAACTCGGTATAACTCTAGAAAGCTCTATAAAGCTTATATAAAATAATGCCAAATTATGAATTAGTTGAGACTCTCCACCATTGACCTATCAGGTAAATTATATATAGAATCTAGAAAATTTCCTGGCTTCATAATGAAATTGAAGTTAAAAATAATGAAGACTAAAGATTAAAATAGAATTACAGAGCCCTCTGTGTTGTACTAGAATCTGTAGACTATATCACGAAAAGTACACAAACACTGAGGACCAAGACCGATAGCCTTTGATCTTGGCATCCTGTTTAGGGACAGTAAGCAAATAGTACTCATCAGGTTTGCAAACCAACTAATGTGGCTGCCTGGAACATGGTGTTGACAGGTGTTCTGGGGATCGCCGCTGGAGATGCGGTTGGAGGACCTGCCTGCTTGGTTAGTAATGTCTTTCAGGGTCAGGAGTTCAGAGAATGTTGAAAGGTTTTTGTCATCCCTGCCTATTCTGTTTTCCTAAGTTCCCCAGGAATATTCCTCAAATGGAAGTTAGGTTACACAGATGAAACTTGCCTACAAACTATCAGTATATTATTGTTGGGTGAAGACCAGACTCCTTGGTTTACTGTGGGATGCCTCTCAGGATAATTTGTGGACAGAGTGAAGAAGGGATTCCTCCCCTATCTCTGTCCTTTCACTCTTTTAGAAACTTTCAGTGCTCAGGAGGCTCCTTGCTGATGGATTTGGCCTACTCTGTGCCAGTGCCCAGGTGTGCACTGGTATTTACAGATGCTCATCATTTTACCACAAAGTAGTATTCTAATACCGCTGGGGACCACAGACCAAATAATAGAACTAATAAAAGTTGCATGAACTCACTTCAGAATAATGTTCATATGCTAATACACCTGTGATTTTTTGTAGAAAATTTCAAAAAATTCCCCTTAAAATTTTCACCATAATGATACATGCTTTATTTTTAAAATAAAATTATGTATACTTTTAGGCATGTATATTGATCTGTAAATATAGAAGAGCATAGCATTTTATAATGAATTATCATAACTAACGAACCACAGATGTTTGCACTAATAAGCCCCCTTGAAATCTGGATTATATCCTCCAAAAAAAAAATTCATCCAGGAATGCTTTAAACCACATTTTACTTCTACTAAAACATTAAGAGGTGAATTTGATGTAAGGTGCTGTTGCTCAGGTGATCATTTCAAAAAGTTCTAGCTTAATACATATATTGCCAAAATGGAAATATATCATAAATTTGAAATCTCAAATGAGAATTTATTCATTCATTTGTCCATCCATTCATCCAATACCTTAACCTTTATTAAGTATAAGGAGCTGATCTAGGTTTCCTGACAGATTCAGTGGAGAATAAGACATGTGCTGACCCCTATGAAATTATAGCCTAATAAGTTACTACTGTTATGTTTAAACATTATACTATAGTGCATTTTTCAATGAATAAATGGAAGAAAAATAGATTTCTTCAACCAATTCTCAGAAAATTATCTTTTTAATTCAATCTTTATGTGCATGTTCACACACACAAATACTAAAATGACTAACATTGCTGGCTGAATAGACAGTCATACCCCTTCAAGTATTAGCTGTGTGATCTTTAGCAAATTACCTGCACCTCAGTTTACTCATCATGAAGTGGAATAATACAGCAGTTACCTAATACAGGATTAACTTAATTCATATAAAGTTTCTAAAAAAATATGTACATTCAATTTAATAATTCCTTCAACCCTGCATATTTAGGGTACCCAAAAGCTGAGAAATTTATTTTATAAATTTTCTCAATTTTAAGACCGATTTTCAATAATTTGGCCTCAAAGGAATTACTTCCTCCTTTAGAAACAATTGAGTACATGCAAGAAGAAACTCCATTATATAATTTATTCTTACTGGGAAAATATAAGAAAGATTTTACTGGTTTTTCTCCTCCAAGGGGTAGAGTTAAGAACTAACAAATAGCTGAGACACCCCCCTACCCCAAATCCCCCTACTTCTAAGGGTTTCAACTCTTAGATTTTTTCGAAGTGATCATTTCCTTCTCAACTTAGCCTCAACAGACCAACGTCAGGGACTGTGGTTACCCATAATTAGAAAGTTAGGACAGTGAAGATGCCCGGGATGGAAGCAGATGCTCTGACCTTATAAGAAAAATGTTGGTTTCTGAAGAACTTTACAACTGCAGTCTGTCTTCTATGAGACTGGCTCAGTCTCTTATCAATAACGTTATCTCTTATTGTGATCACACTGAAACAATCCTCTCTGTTTGATGTTTTGAGCAAACATTGTCCTTCCTTTCCTTTCCATTAAAGAGTTTGTAAGAACTGCAGAGAGTTAATGAAATATCCTAGCTAGATCAGCAAAAGAGCGAATTAGAATGCAGAAAAGACTGCTTAGGAACGTAATACATTTTAATCATCAGTTGGAATATGGGATCTCCTAAGAGCATGTACACACACACACACACACACACACACACACACACACACACACACACACACACACTGATTATAAGAGAGTCCAGCATTTCAAAGGAAGACTGGCTGTTAGAAGTCATAATAAAGGTGCCATAATAAAGGGACAGAACCCTAAGATACGATTTTGACTAGAGAGCTTTAGGCTGCATATTATCTATTGTCTAAAGGGATGTTTTCTCTAATTTTATAATATGAGATAATTTCCTCAAGTTCTCTGGCCATGGATCCCCTTCCATGGAAGATTCTGGTATGTCTTATTATAACTTATTCAATTAAAAATAAAACAAAGCAAAAATATATAAAAATAATTATTTTTCACCTGATCTGTTGAAAAGCTGTTCTGATTCATCCACTCTAATTTTTCTTGTATTTGATCCGTCTGGTTTTCAAACTTCTGCACATTTCAAAATTACTAATGATATTTTCTGTATATCCCTCAAAATGTTACATATTTTTGTTTATAAATTAAGGCTCAAGTCCTTCATTTTGGGACATTTACTATACAGTTGACCACTATTTTATTCTCTGTTTCCTTATGTTAAGGACATATGATATAGTTGATCATTTACTTATGGTTGATTCTGTAAAGAGGTTGTTGATATGATGAGGACAACAGCTCAATAGAGACTCATTGTTTGTGATCCTTCTAGGAAATCTGCTCTAATACAAGGATTGAAGTGGACCCGCCAAGTCACTTAGTATAATAGTTAATTCCAGAAACAAAATAGAGGGCTTTTTAAAATTTAAATGATTTGAAACCACTTTTAGGTGGATATGTGTCCTAGTGTTGTAGCAACTTGAAGAAAAAATATTCTTGGATGTACTAGTAATGCTATTTTATTATGAAAGCAATCTGTTGACCTTGAGTGAAGAAGAGAAGGAAGATTGGGGAAAGTGTTGTGCAGTCCAAGGAAGCATCAGAGAAAGCAGCAGGGACTTACTTATCCTAAACCAGTTTTCAAGGAAGTCCCAGGTTTCCCCAAAATAGCAGCTTTAGTGCTCAGTCATTAGCTAGGGGCAGCCTGCGGGAACTGTGGCCTCTCTTGGTGTAAGAGTGGCAGTTTAGCATGCAGCAGCGAAATTCCCTACAAATGAAAGTCCTTGAGCCATTCTCATGACCACCTCATGCTTTCCTATGCATTCTTCATGTCCTTCATGTCAGTGTCTTCTCTGATCACTCCAGCTCACAAAGATGCTCAATCAATACAGAATGAGTGAATCCTGAATTCCTTAGCAGTTGGCAGTTTCTGGATTATATTAGTCATATACATACTTCCTTGTTATTTCAGTTATATTTTTGTATTTATACATCTCCTCTCCAAATTATATTCAAAGCTTTGCTTCATCAAGATTATTTTTAAATGCCTAAAACTCACAGCTGTTTATTATTTCATTGATTAACAATCTTTATAGGCAATGCTCGATAAGGAAAAAATAAGAGTATGGTAAGTCCAGTGATAATATGCTTAAAAAGAAACCAGCTGAAAGTTGTTAAGGATATGGCATATATAAAATGTCATTTATTTATTTTTTCAACAACTATTAATTAAGCATCTATTGTGTGCCAGGCATGTACTCAGTCTGGGGAATGCAGTGATGAATAAGAAAGACAGGTCTTGTTCTCATTTGGCTTATAGGTTTATTATTAGATAGACACACAATAAACACAAGAATGCGTAAACATATATATAGAGCAAGAGTTGGAAATTTACCAAGCGGCAGTACCCTGAAGTTTTATTTATCCTACATAATTGGTTAGTATTAGGAAATTGAGGAGTGTTCACATAAAAGACAAGCCTAAGATAAATTACCACAAAATTCAGAGCTGAAGAATCTGTACATAATGGTCATATTTTCCCTCCAGAGAGATAAACCGATCTATCTTCCTGGAACATTTTCAGGATTGCATCTCTTTTACAAAGCCTTTTACTCTAAACAGGTAGAGACATCTGTAAAACCCAAAAAGAATTATATTTATCTATTCATTATTTACTCATTTCTCATGCTTCATTGCTTAGTGCTGGGAAATACAAAGATAAAGACACACTTTCCAAATTCATAATTATTTAATCTAATGAATGTGTATTGGCGACAATTTCCACTAGCGTCTAGTGTTTATTTGAAAATTATTTCATCTGTCCACTATAATAAATAGGCATTTAGTGCCCTCAACATGCTTAGTGAAGGGGAATTATAAATACATAAGATGTATGTTTCTAGATTCAAAAATATACCTGAAATCATCTCTCTCTTTTTTTCTTCTAGGAAAGTCTTAATAGACATCAACACTTGAATTCTTTATTTCCTCATGAAAACAATGGTGCTGTGTATGGAATAAATCAGTTTTCTTATTTGTTTCCTGAAGAGTTTAAAGGTATGGTGTGGTGGTGCTATTAGTTGATTAATTTTCTGATTTTAATTTGTTTCCTTAATTTTTGAGGAATTGTTTAATTATGAATCTAGTCAATTGGCTAGCTATCATTTATTAAATATTAAGTGTCAAGCATGTACCAGGTGCTTACAGAAATATAAACTCCTGGTTACTCTTTTCTAATTATTGCATAAGAACTAAATATTATAATAATAGACATTTCCATGTGGTTCTACAATGCCTCATCCATTCTGCCAGTTTTTACTGCTATTTCTATTCAAGACACCTGTGTTTCCATGGGTTATGCTAAAACAAATGATCTAAGTTATATTCATTTTTATTATTGACCTCAACTCATTCTGTCAAACAAGTCATCTTATGTGGCAGCTTCAGTCCTATTGTAGGAATTCTTATCTTTATAGTTTTCAGCTGAGTGCATTTCATGGCATGGAAAATCACAAAGGTAAATCACAAACAGAAAGCACTACTAGAAAGCCACTGTTGTATTTGAGAAGCTCCTCCAAAAAGAATCCCAGGAGGCCCTCCCTATAATATAATATGTTGTCTTTTCATTTCATATTTCTATTTAGCTATTTATTTAAGAAGCAAACCTTCCAGATTTCCCAGATACCCAGCAAAAGTACAAACGTCCACACTCAATGTGTCTTTGCCATTAAGATTTGACTGGAGGGACAAGCATGTTGTAACACAAGTGAGAAACCAGCAGACGGTAAGTTTATTGTCTTAGCATGGGAAGTCACCTTTGAGGTCAGGTTCAATCAAACTTCTAATGGAACTCATCATTTTTCTGGGTAAAAACACACCCCAGTCATCCAAAAATTTCAATGAAGGGAGACTCTCTGGTAGAATGAGAGGCAGAGTCAAAGCCCAACTTTGATTCTGAAGATAAGCCTACCCCTCTGAAGATACCCCTACTGTTGGTACAAGGAATGCCAGCTCACCAGGAAGAGTCGATACCTTACCTGCAGGGATAGAGTCTCAATTTGTCCGCACTGGAAACCTCAACAGGTCCTTCAGCTCCCCTTGTATAGACGGGATGATCCTTATTTACTTCTCAGATTCCATATCTACTGTGAATTTAATTTTAATTTTACCACCAAATCATTTGCCTTATTATTGAATTCAAAATGAAGTGTGAATCAGTGAGAAACCCAATCCTACCAGGAAATGTCTACATTGTATTAAAAAAAGGCACTTGTAATTGAGAATTTTTAATTAAAAGAATCTGCTGAAGAGACGTTTTGAGCAGGAAGAGCCCTCCTGGGGCAGGTGTAGGAAGGTAAACTGAGACTAGCCTTGGGCATGGTGCCAGCAACCTGTATTCACATTTCTCAAGGGGTAGAGACCCTGCAGTAAGTCCCCCAGTGAATATTTTACTATGCTATCAGCACTGGAGATACAAACATAAATAAAACCATTTGATGCCATACAGATGCTCAAAACCTTACTCCACAAAAACAGCCAATTGCTCTTCTTCCTGTCTTTGTGTAACTCTGCAGCCCATATCCTGTGATTAAGTTAGTTCTGCCCAATTTCAAATCTTACTCCCACTCTGCCCTTTGCATGCATCCTTCCTCCTTGGGTGCGATCCTTGATTTCATTCCCTCCAGGCCCTCCCTTGTTTGCAGGACCAATCACTTTATTCTTTTTTTCCAGTTCGTTCAATAAAAGCACATTAGTAGATCCAGAACAGGAAGATGGTCAGCCAGGATTTGAATAAGGAATGACTAATATGGGTTCCTATCATTAGGACATTTCATGTGCATCCGTGATGTGCCATGTGGCATCTTGATAGCTTAAAAAGTAGTTCACTCAGCTCTCATGTCCATCAAATGAGCACAACATACATGACATACATCCTCCCCTCATTTCACCACTGCCTCCAGCCCTGAGGGTGGAGGGTAGATGACATAGAAGCTGAGTATCGGGGGAGGAACAAGGATTGAAGAATGGAATGGGAGTTGGTACATTTCACAGAAATAGGTCAATGTTCAAAGAACTGACTAGTCTTTTAAAAGACCATCAGTCCAAATATTTTCTCAATTTCTAAAATTCACTTTTATCTTGCATTGTCTTAATTCACAATAGTGATACTACCAATTTACTTCTGAGTAACAATTATATTTTTATGCTAAAAAGAGCATTTTGGTTTTCCTTTTTCGATCTGAAAATCTACAGGATGGGCATTTATATTTTGTAGGCCCCCGGGTTCAGCTCAATTTACTTGATTTGGTAGCTTGTGATATTTAGAGATGTAGGTAAACTTGATTTGAAAGTTATTTTATGGTAAATACTATTCTATCTCTATTTTCAAACAGTGTGGAGGATGCTGGGCCTTCAGCGTGGTGGGTGCAGTAGAATCTGCATATGCAATAAAAGGGCATCCCTTGGAAGACCTAAGTGTCCAGCAGGTCATTGATTGTTCATATAATAATTACGGCTGCAATGGAGGGTCTACTCTCAATGCTTTGAACTGGTTAAATAAGGTGACTAGTTTCTTAGCCCTTCAAAGTCTTTGCTCCTCTTGTTTAACATGTGTTCAGAATTGAAATCATTTACTCCTACAGTAAGTGAGGTTTTTAAGTTCAGAAATTTAGATGAACAAAGCTTGAATTATTCAGATTTAAAAATGAATTGCTTCCAGGCAAGTCAGCCATTGAGAAATCAGAGTGTGAAAAATCTTGCCTGAGATTTGTTTTCAGATAGGTACTTAAGTTTATTTCTTAACATTTCTTAATAGGTAAGTGATTTTTTTTTCTTTTGCAGTATGTGTCACATACTGATCTAGGAAGATGAGATCATATGATTATTTATTTCCATAGAATTTCTGAATATTTTTAAGGTAAAAGGGACATTAGGGGCCAGCTAGTTTAGCAACTCTTTAAGTAAAGAAATGAGACCTTAGAGGTGGGATCAAATCAGTGGCTGAGCCAGGACTGCACCTTAAGTTCTCTGCCTCCTACTGAAGGATTTAATCTAATATACCATAGTGTCCCTCCGTGTTCTTAGGACACTCTCTGGCATTGTCCTATATCCAGCATCAATTGCAGATAGGCAGCCAATGAGGGTGCTACCATGTTTTGTAAACCAGCCAATGAGGATGCTACTATGTTTTGTAAAAGGTTTTTAGGCTAGAGTGTTCCAAACTCGAGTATCAGGCTGCTCTTGTTCATTTGCTGTATTTTGGGCCACTGCATACAAGAAGCTGCTCTATATACATCATGGTCAACAATGAATTGGCTTCCATAATCCCAGAAAGGAAGGATTCTGTATAGACAACTATATGTGACACATACCAGATGCATGGCACAGAAAGAAGGGGCTAGAAAGAATGTTGAATTTGACCATTGCCTGGGGTAAGTCTCAGAGACTTGCTAACACAGAATGTCCAGAAGGAGAGTGTGTTGCCCTACTGTACCTTCAGGAGAAAGAAGACAAGACTTTATTAACAAATTGAAGGAAATTCTAGAGAAGGAAGAAATAGAAAAATAGGACTAAAACAGAAAGAAAGATATTGTGTTTAATTACCTAGGCTGTCCATAACAGACACCTGAAGATTTAAGATCTTAATATCCCAAAGAATATTTACATGTAGTCAAATGAATCTAGACACATTGCAGTAAATTTGATTTGATTTTCCAAACAACTGCATTTTCAATAGAGAACCTTCATGTGATTATTTTCTTTTAGATGCAAGTGAAACTGGTGAGAGATTCAGAATATCCATTTAAAGCACAAAACGGCCTGTGCCATTACTTTTCTGTTTCACATTCTGGATTTTCAATCGAAGGATATTATTCATATGACTTCAGGTAATTGTCTTATTTTAGTGTGTTTTCCCCTATATTTCTTAATTTATGATCTAGTGACTATTATGAATTAATAATTTGATTGAAAGCATCACTTCATACTTGTAATTATTTTAAAATCTAATTTTTACCAAAAAGTGTAATTGGAAATTACAATGGTGTGCTATGGATGTTGTTACTTAAATATGATCTACTTAGTTCTCCATGTCTCATTATAATAGAAATAACAAACTTAACACATTTAAATCCAGGTTAAGTGTAGTTTACACTTACCATCTTCCTCTTGCTAAATTTAGGGGGTCATAATTACCAGTAGCATATTTCAGTCCAAAATTGGTTGTTGAATCAGAGTCCAAAATTGATTTGTGTAAGCTCTCCAGCTAATTTCAAGCAGTTTACTTACCAAGAAGCCTTTTTAAACACGCTCATTGTTCCTTGCATTTTTCAAGGTATCAACTATAAGAAAAGCATAAACTGAAACTTTCACATAGGAAGCAAGTGGGACTGTGGCCCTGGTAATAGATGCGCTAGCACACATACAAGCACAGGGGAGTGCAGGGTTAGGTCAGGATTGGCTGAGAAGGAGCACCTGGGCTGGGACTCGAGGGGCAAGATGACTTTGGACAGTTCAGGGGAAAACAATCATTAAAAAAAATGCTTTACAAACACATGTAAAACTCAAATCCAGTTAGGAAATCATTTCAAATAGTATAAAATAGGTGTTCAGGGACAATAAGGATTAACGAAGACTCATCCAACAATGTTTTTAAGTTTAAATTTTAAAAAAGGAAAGTTTACAAGTCTTTTTTTAATGTATTTTTATTGAAGTATAAATGATATGCAGTATTATAATGATTTCAGGTATACAACACAGTTATTCAACAGTTACATTATTAAATCCTCACCCCAACTAGCAGTTACTATCTGTTAACATAGGAAGACGTTATAAAATCATTGGCTATATTTGCCATGCTGTGCTACCTCCCCCATGGCCAACTTTTATTTTGATTGAGATTTTGTGCCTCCTTATCCTCCTCCCCCTCCCCACTCACCAACCCCGACCCCTCCAACCCCTTCCTGATGGTAACCAGCAGTCACTTCACACAGTCTTTTTAAACAGAGAAAACAGAAATTAAATTTGCCTAAGGTGACAGAGTGCCCTCTAACATACTGATAGTATCAAAGAATCTCTTGATCCAGATGGAGGCTACCTATGGGATCTGAAGGAAATCAACGGTGAAATTGGATCCTTGAACAAAATGGAACCCCTCCAAATAAGTTGTAAGAGTACCAGAGGCCTGGTAGGTTGTCAACACAGCTCCTGTCCCCCACAAGGGCTCTCTTGGTGACCCTACATCGGACCTATACACCAGAGAGCCTCAACTCTGCAGACAGCAGGCTACATAGAATCTATAATAAGATATGCAGGGTCACTGAGCACATTGATTAGCATCTCTGAGGGCAAAGGTAACATGCTTTCTAAAATGGGAACGTGTGTCTATAAGCTGTCAGTTCCTTAGGAGCACAAGTGAAGCATGTGCACAATGAGGAACTACATTTTCAAAATCTCAGTTAAAAGGATTCGGGAAGTTCTTGGTCATGAGTAACAAATTGGAAAATTTAGGAAGCAATTAAAAAATAATAGGTGTTAGTTGGAATTAGAGGAGAGAATGCAAAAACATCAGTAGGCCTGAAGTAGAAGTTATCCAATCCTTTGATGAAGAAGAAAAAGATCCCTATAAAAATCCCTACATTTACACTAAACATTAAACATTGTCATAATACATGCTAAGTAAGCTATCTGTGTTAGACTCAAGAAGATATTTCTTTGATTTATTCACTCATTCCAATATTTGTTGAATATTGTTTTAGACTCTGGGGATTCAGCAGAGAACAAAATAGACAAAAACTGCCCTCCAGAATATATTTTAGTGATAGAGACAGGTAATAAAATAAAAATATGAATGGTATGTCAGATATAATTATTTCTAAAGAGAAGAAAATAAAACAGTGGAAGGAAGAAGCAACTGAGTGATGAAAGGGGTGCATACAATCCTAGAATGGCCAGGGGGGTGCTCCCTGAGAAGATGGCATTTGAGTGAAGACCTGGAGAAGTGTGGGCACTTAACCATGTGGGTATCTGGGGTAATACTGTTCCAAGCAGAAGGAACTGTATATGCAAAGGCCCTGAGGCAGAATCATTTCTGGCATATTTAAAGAATGAGGAAGCCAATATGAATACAGTGAAGAGAAGATGGGTAGGATTAGTAGGAAATGGGATAATAAAGATTATCAGTTAATAATCTTAGAGCAGAGTATTAAAAGAATGGTCTTGATATGAGAGGTAATAGGGTATACCCCTCACAGAGAATAAGCCCCCAAGGGGCATATTGAGGGATTTTATATAGGGGAGAAGAGAAAATAATCAAAAATGTCTCTGGGCCTTTTGGCGTGAACGAATTGAAAGAACAGAATAACAATTAATTGAGACATAAATGTTTAACTAGCAACAGATTTGGAAGGGGACATCACTGGGACGTGTTGGAAGTGACCCTGGGAAACACTGGTAGGGAAACAGATGAATAAGACAGAACAGGGAAGGCAGGGTCTCCTTATTAAGCAAATTAGTACTGAGGATAACCTGGAATTTAACCCTCCTGGGGACCGCTCAGAGCCAAGGTAACATATGCGCTTTCCACCTGATTTGATGTTCCTCACTGTTCATGATCCATTAGTTGAGGTGCAGCCAGGATAGAGGTGGGGAGTGAGCTTGATTTCCTGGCTCTTCAGGAGAGGAGGGCCTCAGGCAAAGGGCCGTTGGGCTCCTTGTTGGAAGCCTGGCTGCAGGGCAGTGGTACCCGGAGGCTGTGGGAAAGCCTCCCACAGCATCTCCTGTGACAGACCCTGGGCCAGGCCCCGGCGCTCAGCGCTCACAGCTCCCATCTGAAGTCCCTGGGGAGGGTCACACAGCTAGTAAACTATAGGGGCCAGATTAGTACAGTAGAGCCCAGGGCACAGCCATCAACCAAAAACTCCCTGAAAGCTTGTGTAGACCTGAAAGGAACTCGAGAAACCACTGCATCATACAGATAGTCTAGTTTTAAAGCGACATGACCTTTCATACCTGGGTTTCTTCATGCTGCTTTGCACATCAGATTCCAGGAAAGACATTTCAGAGCTCAAACTATAACATGAGAATGACTATTTAAATAAACAAAAAGGGAAAGAACCTACTACCTATAACAATGGACTGAAACACTAAGACACAATATAGCACATGGAATTCTAGGAATGGTGAGATGGAAATCTACACACTCATCAAAGGTCTGTAACAGATAAGACTTCCATTAACGGCCAAACCTTGAAGATGATGATGTTTAGGAGAATTCTTTAAACGCTGTTGGATTTGTATCTTTCAGATCTGTGAATAGTAAGCTCATAGAACAAGGTTTGATAATACATCCATTATCAAACGTGTACATTTTGCTAGTAGTTCCATTTTGGACTAAAAATGGAAACAAAATGCTGTTTGGAGCATATTTTAACTCTCTGAAAGCCAACATCTCTTCGAAGACAAGTGATAGCAATGCTAGTCAGTTTGGGGGCTAAATGGAACATGCGCCTGCTTCCTGACTGTGGCTTGCCCTCCTATTTCATATTTCCCAATAGCTTGGGTATCTTCTGTTTAGCCCTGCCTCAAAGCAAGGACTACTACTAAATTGTTTCTTTGATCTTACAGTGTTAATTACCCTTTGCACTCTAAAATATATTTTTCCTTGATAATTCTCTTTCCGTCATGCTGTCCCTGTAACTAGATATTTGATGTCATATATTTACAGTATACCTTTTGTTATCTTAAAAAGGTGGACACAATTTTGTTCTGTTTAATACAGAGATTATCATATTTATCATATTTAGATTATACAATATTAAAAAAATGTGGTAACAGTAAAATGTTATACACTACAACTGTTGGATTCCCCTGAGGAAGGCGCCGCCCCAAATCACTCACCAAAGACGTTTCTTGATGCAACAAGCAAGAGGAATTTATTCAGAAGCCAGCTAGCTGGGGTCCAAGTCAGCCCGACGCAGTGGGTCTCAACGAGGACCCCAAGCACTTCTAACTAAGGGGTTATATAGGATTTCCGAGGCATTCAGCCCTAAAGGATTACCATGGTTACAGATTAGATAACAATTCTACAAAGGCAGTAATTTTTCAAACCTATGATTTCTGGGTTGGTGCCACGTCCTGGGGGTGTAGCAAGATAGGATCATTCTCTTACTGCTAGGGTGATTTAGCAAGGTAGGGTCGGCATTTATGATTAACTAACCGAAAGGTTAGCGCTGCCAGCAGTCATGATTGATTAACTTGTTTTTCCAGAGGAGTTACCTGGTTTCAGTTGTTCCCTCTGAGTCATATATCAGAATGGCTTTTTGGGCTTCAAGATGGCCACTCTTAGGCTAACTTATTTCTCAGGGAGGTTGGGGTCTTACACAACCTATGCTGAGCAAGCTAATTTATTAGATAATTTAGAAATAAGGGGAACAAAAAACATTTATTGCAAACCTGGAGTATAATTAATGTAAAGCATGCTACAAAACTTAATACCTTTAATTTTGTCCTTATACCAATTCTGCAAGGTAGGGGAATGACTCCAGTGTACATCTGGAATTTGAATCCAGGTATGTGGAACTTCAAAGCCTGTACCCTACCACATGATGCCTTTTAAAAATACTATAATTTTGTCTGTCTCAGGGTAATCTTGATGAATACAAATTATTATTACAATAGCAAAAATTAGAAATGACTGCTTATAGATCTCCAAAAAACAGATATTCACATTAGCAGGTAACATGAATAAATGTTTAGAATGAGTGCATGGTTTCTATTTCAATAAATTCCACTGTTAAGCACTCACTTTTTCCCTTATCTGTGGACAATATATCCCCTTGATAGAAACTGATCACCACCTGGGTTTGATGAGGGATTATTTACTCTTTCAAGCCACTGTCCACCCACGGGTTCCTGCTGCAATAAACTACCCAGTGCTGTCTTAATGAGCTGAAATACCAGTGACTTGGTTTCAGTGTCCTTCACCCACAGCACTGACCTTTAAAAATGTAAATAATGGCTTAATCACATACATCTGAGATCGATGAAGGCTGAATGTTGTGTAACACTAGACTTTATCAACATACGTCCATGTATGAAAGCAATAATTGTGTCTTTTGCCCTCTTCACTTCTAGTACTAGTTCTCCTGGCATCTTAACATTTCTTCTGTCATATAATTATATTTGCAACTTTTGGGTAATCATTCCCTATGATTTCTATATTTGACATTCATTAACATAAATTGGTTAGTCTCTTGATTCTCATATGATGTGACAGAGATATCTCCATGCATCCAGTCTTCCCACTTTCCATATTACAAGAGTCCCTGTGTGATAGCTGGGTACTTTGCCAGCCAGCTACAAAACTCCATTTCCCATTGTCCTTGAAGCTAGACTTAACCTTGTGATGACTGAGTTCTAGCTAATGAGATCTGTGCAGATGTATGCTGAATGTGTGTTAACTTTTGGAATCTTCTCTCACCTAGAATATAGCCCTTCTCCTTTCTACTTCTTGCAGTCTGAAATATGTGTTAAATGGTTGAAGCTTCAGCAGCCTCCTTGGACCAGTAATTCACCATCCCAATAGAAACCTTACATAGCAGAAACATTATATAGAAAGATCCCAAGTTCCTGATATCCTGGATCGCATTGCAGTCCAGGACTGCCAATCTTCCAGAATTCTTTCAGCCTCCATTATTTTGGTCTTCTGTAATTGCAACCAAATCTACTCCTAACCATACACAGATTAAATACATCATTTTTATAAAATAATTTTAACTTAAAAACTAAACACCTTACCCAAATATTTCCTCTTTTGATAGTGACCAAGAAGATGAAATGGCAAATGCTCTTCTTACCTTTGGCCCTTTGGTAGTGATCGTAGATGCAGTGAGCTGGCAAGATTACCTAGGAGGCATAATACAGCATCACTGCTCTAGCAGAGAAGCAAATCATGCAGTTCTCATAACTGGGTTTGATAAAACAGGTAAGTGCTGATAAGACTTGATCAATTGATTACAGCTTGAACTCTGATTAACAAGTGATCACCATCCTTTAAAATGTTGATATTTGGTCCTGCGATGTCTAAGTCATCCCAAGACCTTTACAGCTTTTCCATAGACTTCCAAGTATAAGTCCCCTATCAATTTGGGTGGATACCTTGTTAAAATTAGGATAATTATTGGTTAAAATAATGTGTATTCTCCATCTGGAATGTTTAAAATAATTGTTGGGAAGGGAGAAGAACTTACTATTTTATCATACACACCTAACAATTCTTTTTTTTTTTTTTGCCTTTTCCTAATTCCTTGGATTAGGAAATGAGTGTTTCATTTTATGCAGTCCATACATTAAGTGAATTCAAACACATATTTTTTTCATTAACTGAATTGTTACATCACATACAGTTCAAGTTTACTTATCTAGTTTAAGTTAGCATCACATGACATTTTTAATCTTTTTCTCAGAGCTACTACACTTGTCAAGAACTAAACTTTAAATGAACATGCATTCACAACAAAATGTGAGTTTTTCAGGGTTTGATACCATTTTATGTTTTGTAGGAAGTATACCCTACTGGATTGTGCGAAACTCATGGGGAAGTTCATGGGGAGTAGATGGCTATGCCCATGTTAAAATGGGAGGTAATATTTGTGGTGAGTCCTAAATTTATGTTTAAAGCTGCATGTTAAATGTCAGGAAGATACTTTGAATATATTAAAAATTATAAACCTGTCCAGTTCATAGTATGCTTCCAATGATTCAAATCACTTTTATAGCAATAACTTTTATCCTTTAACTAATGGATAAAAATAAAATAGTGTTTTAAAAGAGACCTTATTGAACATACTAACATTTTCAAAAGGAAGAGTACAAAACAAAACTTTGAATTTTCAAATTGCATTTAAAATAATCCTATAAATTATTTTACTGCTTCTAAGTGATATATATGAGCAAAATAAAGATTTCAGATATATTCACCTGTTCAGTTAATTAGTCATTTTGGTATTTTTTTTATTTTGTAGTTTCTTGAAACAAAAATATTAGTTCATGTCTTCTAATATCTTTGAGATTGCCATGTTTATACTTACAGATAGTTATAATCATGAAGTTATTCCCTTAGTAGATACTAGCTCTTTCTGAAACCAAATGAAAATTCTTCTGATTTGCCATTTAAAAGGCCCATAATGAAGGACGAGGCTAATGCCAATAATTTCTTTTTTTCTTAGGTATTGCAGATGCTGTTTCTGCTGTACTTGTGTGATATTTGGGGTAGATCAAGAGCCAACTACAGAAATGAAGAATTCTAATGACATGTAGCCCAGTACTTCATTCTTGGCATTATTCAAATCCCCTGCAAAGGTCCCAGGGCCTAGTAATATCTAAATTAAGTTGCAGAATGTTCCTTTGTTAGAGAGAGATGGACAACCAAAGTAAATAGGAGCAGAACCAGTACCGTTTAGGAGGAAATCTGTGGAACAGTTTCCTGCTCTGAGATGAAGGTCAGATTAGGAGATATTTACACCACTTCAATTTGAAAAGGCTATTTTTAAAAATTATTACTGTTGTTTGTTTATTTTTAAAAACATAACTCCCCTATGATTTAAGAGGCAATAAGAATTTCTTTACAGGATATAATCCCCAGCCTTAGCTTATCCCTCCCTATGCACACAAATAGCCAACCTAAGTTTATGTGTGCCTCTCACAATTATATTCTCAGCCTTCTGCGGTGGAATTTCATAAGAATTTTGAAATACCAATTGCTTTATCTCAACCAACTGTGTTTACTTCAAGAACTAGAGGAAGATCGTGTGGAAAACACAAGGACAGAGTCACTCATTAAAAGAAATAGATTGAAATTAAATGACCAATATAACAACTATATGATAAGAAAAATTCAAGTTGCATTGTCTGAGAAACAAGTTACAGTTCAGAAATTTTCACTGTCAATAGGCTCTCACTACGTTTTCTTTCTTACCGTGTCCTACCGCTGCTGAAGAGCAATGTGTTTTCCCACACTCTCTTACTCTGCGGTGACACTCTTGAGCTTTCCTTGTGGTTTGGCTTCCATGGCGGAAGAACTCTGGTTGTTTACTTACCATTTCTATATTACGACCATTTGTTTGGCTGCATTTGTCCCTGAGCCTTTGTCAACATCAGGAGCTCACCCTTCCCTTCCTCTCCTGCCATTCACAAGCACCATGCCTTTCAAAGTCCAGTCTCATTCATCTGGGGTATCATCCAAAATGTGAGTTTCCCAGGCTCTCTGATCCCCCAGGTCCCTGCTTGTATTTCCTGGACTCCCATGCTAACTGTGCTTTTGTGCAGCCCATTGGCTTTCACCAGGGTCCCGGTTCTTGACGCCCACCTTCTTTCTCACCTAAATTGTCATGTGCGGCAGTGTGAGAACCACCTTCTGATTGAACCAATGTATAACCATTCTAAAGGGGTTCATATAAGAGAATCCTGTCCAATACTACATATGTAAATATTTCTCTAAATTCAGGGTTGCTTTCTAATGTAGAAGAGCTTTAACAAAACAAACTTAGTTATAGCAGCAACCACTAGACAAAATAGAGGATGTCCCATTTTTCCACTCACTTTTGGCCTTCATTTATCCTTTCCTGTTACTAGAAAATAAATAAATAAATAACAAAACACTGTAATTCCTTTTCTTACACCAACCAGAAGCAACCTTAAGAGAATATGATTCAGGTTTAGAAATGGAGGAAGAAAAATTTTGACATTTTACTTGATTGATATTCAAATTATCCAAGTTTGCCTAAAAGGAACTGTGACCCGATTGTTCTAGTTTGTATTCATTTACTGATTTCTGTATAATATAAACACTTTTATGATACGCTTTTTCAAATGCTAAGGCATTTTTTAAATTACAAAATGATTAACCTCAGCTGTTCTGGATTTTGATGACATAATAAAACAATATTTTATTTTGGTCAAATAAGCGTGCAGCTTACATTTTGTCAACACAGTGTTCATGTGCTTTTACGAAAAGTCACATAGGAGTTTTCTCAGCTCTAAGTCCATATATTCCTGTTTTTATTTTCTCCATAGACACCTTCACCTCAATGTCTCCAGAGCTCCATTCATCCTCCTCCTTCCCCCTCCTCCTCCTAAAGTCTCTATTTTGGTTAACATCATATAAACACCAATCAATGAAACTGAGGGAAATCTTAGATATTTAATCAGTTCAACTATACCTTAGTAACCCATCACTTGATCCCCTACCTCCTCTCCGTTTCTATTCTCCCTTTCTAGATGCATGTTCTTCAGTATCTATTATCTTCAACTCTCTAGCAGTCTACTCACTAGACCCCACGTCCCTTAATCCAGAGGTTCTCAAAGTATAGTCCCCAGACCAGAAGCCACCTGAGGACTTGTGAATCACTGTTTTAGTAAATCCTCTAGATTATTCTGATGGATAGTCATTATAATCCATGAAATAGGTGTCCCCTAGATTTACATTTTTAGGACAGCATTTTCATGTAATTCCCTTGAAAGCCATTCAGGGACTCCCTAATGAAAGATAGCATGCAAACCCTTAAAAGAGCTCTCACAAAGATGCCCCTCTCTACCTTCTCAGCCTCCCTGCTGCTGTGCTGCATAGGCAAATGCCCTGTGCCAGTCATAAATCACTTGAAGTTCTCCCTCAGGCTATGAGGAAAGAAATGAAATCTTCACATAATAATTAGGAGTCATAATTGAAATCATTAAGATGTCCCTGGGTGTGATTTCACAAGGATCTCAAAGTGAATACTATATTAGATAACCTTAAAATAACCTTAGAGTGACCCTCTGACCCATTTAAGATTATAAATTGGATTGCTAGCACTAGAAGCAAATTTGAATGGGGACAAGAGTAAACATCGGAATTATAAATTGTTTTGACATTTATGTTAAGAATTTATGACATGTTTGAAAAAACTATGATATAGCTTAGTCATATCCAGAAATAAAAATTTAAAATATCAAATTACTTAGTCCATTAAAAGAACAAAATTAACAAGTAATATTTATTCCAAGGTTCTAAGGCATTTTAGTGGTGGAGCATATATCAAAATTTTTTTCTTCATGAGAAAAAAAATATGAGATAAATATTTTTATCCCCATTATATAGATGGGAAACTGGGTCTTAATCCTGTGTTTGTGCCAGAGAAGATAATAAATGGCAGAGTCAGAATTTGCTCCCAAGCTTGCTGATTTCCAAGCATGAGCTGATATCAGCTTTTCACCACCATTCTACTTGTCTCTTTTTTAGCTTAACCATGAGTAAATTGTTGATCCCCCTACCTCCTCTCCATTTCTATTCTCCCTTTCTAGATGCGTGTTCTTTAGTATCTCTTATCTTCAACTCTCCAAGTAGTATATACATTCTCATGTGCATACACACACACACACACACACACACACTCTCTCTCTACACAAAACTCATGTGGCCAAAAGCAATTATATCTGATTTAGAGGCAAACTAGACAATATAATCCTCATAAGAAAAAACTTGTAGTTGACTAACAGATAGTTCAGTTCCATCAAGAACTTGTTGCTTGCTACAAATAATCATCCTAGGTTAAGATTGGTGGACAGTTTACATTCCTTTGATGTTTTGTACTCCAGTTGTAACAGAAATTTAAATGAGTGCTGCCAACACATCAGGCAGAGTCAGAAGATGAAGAGCAGAACTCATGTCTGATCTAAACTCTTGGTCTTATACTCTATTAGAAATGAGCGGGGTCATTTTTTAGTTTGCTTACCTCTCCTTTCTTCTGGAAAGAACATCTTCACTTGAGGAAACTACCTCAATCCTGTGATGTGTTAGCATTGACTCTACCTCCCAGACCACAAGCATTAGAGCTGGAAAAGCACCTTTGCCCTTCTAAGAGTCCAAAGATGCTTGAAGCTGAGACCCACCCTGAGAAGTAGCCGGTCTACAACAGGGAAGAATAAAGCCAACACTCACAAAAAAAGAGACAAGACCCACAGGGTTCTCCAAGTGCAGGAGTGTCGTCCCCAGGACCTGGGTCCATCTCTGTGGCTTCAGAGCAAACCAGGCCTCTCTTAGCCCTTTGAGCTGGTGGATGATTGTCCCAACTGCCCAAAACCCTTTTAGGAAAGCTTCAGATAGATTTCTATAATTGACCAAAGAGTCCTAACAAATAGAAGCTAATTTTTATTATTTTTTTAAAATTTTGATAAAATAAGTATTTATACAGTGACACATTTTATTGCATAAAATATTTGAAATAACTGCAGTTTACAAGCTTATAAGGTGTGAAACAATTAGGTAGTGATTGCATTAAAGGTTACATTAAGGTAAATATCAGAGAGCATTGAGATTTTAATAGGAAAACTATGTACAATGTTACAGTTTAATTGAAGTAATTTCTTTTTAGTCTTACATCATCATAGAAAATGAGATAATAAAGTTATTTCCAGGATTGAGTCAGAGCACCACAGTGTTTAACTATATATACATATATATACACATATACTACATTAGGACTCTGTGTATTCATGAAAAGTCATAGAAAAGTTCTTAAAAATACAGACTAAGAAATGGATTTTCTTCGTAGATTTTTGCAGATGATTTCAATCTGATTCATCACTACTGAAGTAAGAACTGTCACAATATTCAGCCATGTAAAGGAATTTATGAATAATTGGGTTCATCTTCGGTATCCAGTGTCGGGGAACCAGATACGTTGAAAGATTAAATAAATCTACAAATACCTTGTACCTGTCACTGGAAAAATACATATAAACAGATGTTATAGATTTATTGACATGAATTACTTAAAAATTTGCATTGAAAATTTTCATTTTTCAAATATTTTGCCAGAAAAAATTGGTATTCAATATTTCCATATTGCATGTTACATATATCATTTATATTATATTAAATAGTATTAGTATTAAGATTGCCTCATTTTCATTTCTATATCCAAAGTTTATGCCCATAAAACCGTTCTCTTTTACATTGTTCCTGACCAGGCTAGTCCAGATTAAAAATCCTAGAGTCTTACTATTGTCATTCTACCATCATAAAGATAAAGCTATGTTCTTATTTCTAACTTTTAAAGGATAATATGCAAAACAAAAATGTACACAATACAGAGTTCCTAGTTGTTCAATGGAAAATATTTCCCACCAGCAAATTAGCTACCATGGGACTGATATGAATGAATTAATAAATTGAAAAGCCATCTTGGATTCAAAGTTTTCACATTTAAAATTGTTTTTGTGTGAGTCAACTCATTTTAACTGTTGCAGTTTTATGAAAGAAGGGTATTTGCCTTTGAAGTCAAAGTTGGGTTCAAATCCTGTTCTGTGACTTTGTAAGTCATGTGATTTTTTATCAGTTTTCTAAGCCTCAGTGTCTTGATTTCTAACTCTAAAATAAAAAATACAATCTACTTTGTAAGTCATGTGATTTTTTATCAGTTTTCTAAGCCTCAGTGTCTTGATTTCTAACTCTAAAATAAAAAATACAATCCCTTCCTCTGGCCCTGCCTTTGTGAAAATTGAATGAGATAATGACATATTAAAAATACTGTTTGTGTTCATTGTTCCCACCACCTACTGTGTGTGTGCTTATTTTGTACAGACAGTCATTTACTGTTCCATGCTTGCAGAATTTGTTCCCAGGCAAAGAGAAAATATGTAATGATTGTGAAATTCAAACTAATGCTTTTAAAAAATCATTTGATCTAGAGTTTATTCCCATAGAAAATGAAGAAATAAATAATAAATGATGAAAAATTGAATCTTTGCATTTTATAACAGTCTGATAGTAAAGAATAGGGATGAAAAAAAATGTGCTATAAAGAATTTGGAGACTAAATGCAAACATCTCATTTCTGCTTGAGCTGATTCTCCTTTCAAAAGGGGTCTTAGAAGTTTCCTAGTTTTCAGATATATTGATTCATGTATGTATAATTTTGTGAATGAATATTAAATAAGAACACAATGTCTTAGAAATCTCTCTAGTATATTTAAAGTATTCAATAAATATTCACCCTCTTTCCTTGTAAACAGTAGGAAAAGGGTACTCTCTGGAGTAGATGGTTGTAGTTCTTTTATAGTACAGAAAATAGAGCCATATCTGGAAACAAGGAAATATTTTTTAATTGTGTCATTCATCTGGCCAAGAGAATATAATGAACTTAATGATAACTGTTTTAGGCTTGTCCAAACTTAGGCCAGAATAAGTTGAAAATATTTCTACCTGGATTAACTTCTTCATGTCCCAACAAGTCATGCAGCCATTGGTACCACACCCTTTCTCAACACAGAATCAAAATGATGAACTTCCAGATCAAAGGATTTTTAGAATGACCTCCAAAGTTTGTAATAGGAATACCTTACTCTAACTACAAATGTGCTGTTAACAGTTTAGACAAGAGCAAGTACAAATGACTTTTCCCAGATAACATATATATGGAAAGACAAGGAGTTAGTGACTTTCACCAAAATAAAACGGTGCAGTTCCCTCTATTACCTCACTGTTGAGCGCAGGTACTGATAGCCCGAGGACCCCCCAGTGCCAGCTTTGCTGCCCAGCATTCGGTGCACCATGCACACATGGTTATCTAGGCAAACACACAAATTAACTGAGTATTTTTATGCCACTAGTACCACAATGTTCTAAAAACAAGGAATTGGTAATGATTATTGCTTCTGAGAAAAGGCTCACACCTTATCACTTAGCCATATGGAAGGTTCATGTTTGAGTGTCAGATGAGAAGAGTAGGTTGCCTGGCACCCCAGTGGTTTCAGGCTACATGCATTTGACTCCATCTATCATTACATTTAGCCTGTGCACACAGTAGGGGAGAGCAGGGCCACAGTATGACTTTCATGAGCCCTGGCCACTTTTGCATTTATGGGACCCTTCCTCCATTAAAAAAAACTATTAAGGTGGGGTGGAGCCAGGATGGCGGCGTGAGTACAGCAGTGGAAATCTCCTCCCCAAAACACATAGAGCTATGAAAATATAACAAAGAAAAATCTTCCTAAAATAGAGACCACAGGACACAGGACAATATCCAGACCACATCCACACCTGCAAGAACCCAGCGCCTTGCGAAGGGGGTAAGATACAAGCCCCGGCCCGGCGGGACCCGAGCGCCCCTCCCCCTGGCTCCCGGCGGGTGGAGAGAAACCAGAGCGGGTTTTTTTTTTTTTTT